CCGAAGACAACTCACAAATGCATCAAGTTGTGTATGAATGTATGTGTGTATGTACGTATGCAAGCTTGAATGCATGCATGTATGTATGTATGTATGTATGTATGTATGTATGTATGTATGTATGGGTGTGTGTCTTTGTATGTAGGTAGGTAGGTAGGTAGGTAGGTAGGTAGGTAGGCAGGTAGGTAGGTAGGTAGGGATCGCCTGGAGCACAGGGGCGGAGGTCGCTCCTCTGTCCTTAGCCCTTGGAAATGTGCTCGCACAATGCAGTTCACTGGTTCGTGTCTGAGCCATAAGCACACATAGGAAAGCGGGCCCACCTCAAACCCCTAGCCCTGCAAGAAACTGGAATGCGCACCCTGATTTCTTCAACTTCTGCCGACAGACACGACTTCAGCCTAATTCTAAGCCCTGAACCCTTGAGCCCTCGAGCCATAGGCCCAAAACCTTGAGGCCTAAGCCCTAAACCCAAGACTCGCAAGCCTCTGTGACCCAGCACGATCTGCCAGATTCCAGAGATGGTTCCCGCCGAAGATCCCGAGCTCTTGGGAACCGGTTCCTTGGCTACAGAGTGGCTGAGGGTCTAATTTAGGGTTTAGGATTTAAGGTTTGGGGGGGTCAGGCTAAGTTCACGACCTAAGGAAGTTTAACAACCGTGGAGTGTCAGGTTCACACAGAGTCAGCCAAGGTTCGGGATTAGTAGCTCTTATTGCCTGAGTTCATGACTAGCGGACAAGCGGTTCCACTTGTTCATGAGTGGCCCGGGTTGCCCCAAACCCCGTCTGACTTGCAAGTACTCCCGCCTTCTGCCACCCCTGCGAGCTGATTCCGGGATTCGTCTCCACTTCCCTGCGTGCTAGGCACATGTCCAGTTTGCACAAAAGATATGAGCCAGTGCCCGTCAATCATGAAGCTATCAAGTTTTGGCAGCCCCGCATGTCGTCACTCCGAACGGCAGGTTTTGGATTGCTGACGAACGAGCCGCGCCCTCAATCATATCAAGGGCTCGTAGTCGTAGTCGTCCGGGCTTTTGTCAGAACAGCAGATGTTTCCCAGGTTGGCACGGTCGCCGGAAGCTACCGTGGATGCAGTCATCGAGCTCTTAGACCAGGCAGGCATGCTTTCGTGAGGAGATGGCCTGCAGTCACGACTCAATAGGCCCTGATCACATTCCGTTATGCGATGGGATGCACTTCCCAGAGACTCCAATATTCCTTAATTAAGGAATATTCCTTAAATTATAGTAGGATCCTTAATATGATTTAAGGTATATGCCTTAATTAAGGGATATTGGAGTCTCTGGGTTGTTCAACCTGGCCCAGGCGTTAAAGCTGGACACCCAGGCGGGTGGGGGGAGTTGCAGCTGCCTGTGCCTCCGATGCCACACCACCAGGATGGTTTCCCCCCTGCCACAGAACCATTAGAGTAGGGTTTGGTGGCATACCTATAGTCTCCACTGTAGTTCCTTTTTTTGGTTTAACCAATTATATATTGAGGATTTTATAAGGTATCCCCAAAAAGGAACTACAATGGAGACTATAGGTACTATAGTACCATTACCGTTAGGATACCGTAGGGCCCTAAGCCTAGGGGGCCTCCTCAGCGCAGGACCCTCACGCGAGCACCACGGAGCTGATCCTGTCCGTCCTGCGCCTCTGCTGCAGGGCCGGGAGCCTCAGATCCCAAAGCCGCTCTAAAAACAAAGCATGCAGAGGCGTATAGATAGGGTGTGTGTGTGTGTGTGTGTGTATTTGTGTATAGATACAGTATGTATTTATGTATATATCTATACACACACATACATAAACATATATATATATATATACACACACACACGCAGATGCACGTGCACAGTGGTATGATACATGTATATATATATATATATATGTATTTATAGATGCTTCTGTGGCCAATTGTTTTGCTGAGCGGCTGCGAATCCCTAGTCTAAACAGTCTTACTCTTGCTGTTTGGGACGCTCGTGGCTTGATCTGAGAGCAGCGAAGTTGGTGAGCGGGCGTAGCAGCCCATGACTGGGCTTCAGGTGCCTTGGTTCGGGAATTTCTTTTTGGGTAGAGACATTTCGGGATTTAGGTTTTTGAGTTCTTTCGGTCTAGGTTTAGGGTTCAGGGGTTTTCTGGAACTCGCTCGGTGGTCTTAGGGCTCTGCTGAGGTGACTCACTGGGGTTTACAGGCTACATTCAGGTGTCCTCTCTCCTGGATGGTGTCAGGTTCAGAACACCTTGGCATTCCTTCTCTCCGTCAGCCGAGCGGAGTGCTTTGACAGCAGAAATTGGAGAAGTTCAGCCAGTTGCATGCATCATTGTAAATGGTTTGAAAAAGATTCATTCTGGGGAAACCCCACCCTACCCACACCCGCCCGTCATCTACTCGTGTCGCGTCTAGTGGTTTGCGTCTTTCGTGGTGCTTGCTGCGGCTTTTGTCCTTGAGCAAATTGCAAGTCAAAGTTGAACGATTCGTCCCTGGCGGCACCTCATGCGTTACATGCAGAGAGGGCTCCGGTACTTCCGTGTGTGTTTGTCAATCAGGCATGCAATTATCACTACAACCATCGAGGAACCCGGCGTCCTTCTTCTAGCTTGCTCTTCCGGAGCCCCTAAACCCCTAAACCCTAAACCCTAAACCCTCAACCCTATTCATGTACGTAGTGGTCCATCTCCCCACGGTGGGAGATCCTATCTTGGGTACCCTCTGGTGCGCAACGGTTCAGCGGGCTTGGCATCGCTGTTGATGCGTGAGGGCTTCTCTCTCTACTCTCTTCCGATTTAAAGTCCCCGGTTTCCTGAAAACGCGCTGTACTTGTACCGATAATTAGGTCGCAATGGAACAATGTGCCTTGCATTGGTGGACATCTTACCATAAAGTGGCATCATCCACTGTATGTAGGGCATCAGGTATACACCTTAGTTAGCTCATTGGAGGTCCACTGTTTCAGGATTTCGGCATTGAGGGTCTTTCGGCGAGCCCTGGTGCCAGCCCAGGCATCCGAGCTGCAACGCTGAAGGGCTCAGCGAAGGCCGGCGACACCTTGGTCCCGCAACCTCGGTGCTCGGCCAAAACTCCACCAGACAGGCATAAGCGAGTCGATGGTCTCCGTGAGTAAGCTGCCGCATCCTCACTCCCCAATCCCTCACAGCTAGCCGCGGCCCAGTATAAATCTGCGCAGCTACATGTGGAGGCCGTCGCTCTACACACGCAAGAGGGCATAAGTGCCTCATCCCAGCTCTATGGATCCCAGCATGGCGGTGCTGTTTTCCGCTCTGTGCCCTCGAGGTGGGCGGCCTGTGTTCTCGGAACGGACCCTGCGACAGCTGCAGGCAAGGCTTTGGGAGTACAGTTTTGCATTGTAAGGTCTGTAGGGTACATGATGCAAACGGAGCTTAAGTGTCGATGCATGGACTGGGCGCAAGGTTACGCTCGATTCTGGCACGCCTTGGGGTCCGGCTGGGTTCCTGCTAATACAGGGGGTTCCTTATTATAATTGTAGTATTATGTACCCCAAAACCCTGTTCTTATTGTTAAGACCCCTACATTCGTGTCCTGGCACCTTGGAGGACGCCTGGCCTCGGCTTCGCAGCTCCCTGCAATCTGTGGCCGGGAGTCCCGAGGGGGTCTCTGAAAGGAGGGGGTGTAAGACCTCGCGATTCGACAGTCCGTTGAGGGCAGGACGGTACCACTGTACAAAATAGTTGTTGGGGGTGCATTGAGTAATTATATTCCTCGTGGGAGTAGCATGCGAGAAGTTTGTCTAGAGCCAGCGGCAACAGTCCAGTTCTCACGGACTGCCGTGAATCGGCTAGAGCAGTGGCGGGTGCAGCGAGTCAGATCCCCGCATTTCCTCGTCGTTCTCGTCGTCGCTGCTACAGAAGTGGGACCGCAGGACCGTAGTCAAGATGTTGCGATGCAGATCACTGCCACTAGAAAGTCTGCAGCGGATCCCTGCATCGGCACACCACAAGATTTAAACTGCTGGTAAGGTCCTTCGATAGTCAACTAGCTTAGCTGTATTATCCGACTTCATCTAAAAAATAGCAGCCGAAAGGGACACCACTAACCTATCAAACCGCCTCTCCTCGAGGTTAACGACCGCAGCGCCCTGACCATCCTCGGCCGATGGCTGGACTCAGTGAGGTCGGGATCCTGCTAAATGATGAACAGCTTGCAAGGAAGGTCCCAACATACTCTTGACTCAATCCGTTGTTGATACTCATGTTCTGGATCAAGCCATATCAAGCCATAAGTATCGATCGATGGCGTGCGGATTGCCCAGCATTTCTTCAGGCTTGCAAAAATCTGCTGTAAATAAACAAGGACCTCGACGAGACCCTCCAATGCCCTACAGGTCATGAGTGGCACTTTCTCAGCTGTCGGTTTAGTAGATCTGCCTGGGGAGGACAGACTTTGGTCAACAGTTCGCGGAGGTGCGGAGGGTCACCGGCCAGAGAGTGATTGTTGCATTCCCTCATGCTGGCCAGTACATGATAGTCTTTCATTGTGTAGTCCTGTTCCTGCTGTTCTTCTTTTCCTGGTCACTCTTGTTGTCATACTCCTACCCCCTTGCTCATACTGTGTTGTAGTAGTACTGAAGTTTGCCTGTGTGTAGACCTGGGGCTCATACGAAGCATTGCTGCCCTTCTTGTTCGGCCATTCGTGCATTGAGTTGTGAGTCAATTTACCGACCAATTTCGTGATGTTGTTGCCTCCTTCTTGCGTTGCAGATGACGTGCTCTTGATGATGACGATGATGATGATGATGATGATGAAAGAGAGAGGCCATGATGACCCTGGTAGCGACGATAGCGACGCTGAGCACAGGGACGAGTTGGCAATGCTGATGATGAAGGTTTCGGGAAAAGCTGTTGATCTCTTCCTCCGACAATCATCGTGAGCCTGAAAGTTCTTCGGGGCTTCTGGCACTTGGTCCTTGTCTCGGCCTTCGGCAGGAGGAGGAGGAGAAGAAGAAGAAGGGCAAAGGCTCCGACGAGGCGCTTTCCAGTTCTGAGGTTCTGGCTTCGACGTGTGATTTGAAGCAGGAATCTTCGTGTCATTCGTGTCGGAGCTATGTCATCGAGTCTCGTTGTGATGGGTGGTTGGCATCACCGTGTCTTGGAAACCCAGAATACGACATGCAAGAAGCTCGCAATCAAGGCCCTGTTCCTGTTTGGAGTTTTTGCGCCAACGACCGACCGCTTGATGCCAATATAGGGGCCTAAATAATTTAAATAATTACCTATATTATTTTGGGGGTTCCTTATTCTGACTATAGTAGAATATACCCCCAAAACATACACCCCAAAACCCTAGTCTGATTATTAAGGCCCATACAGCATATCCCCCCGGCTCCCTTAGCTCTCAGCAACCAGCCAAGTCGCGTCTTCGCCACGAGAATTGCATTGCAATGCGCTGGTTTGCACTGGTTTTGCATGTACTCCCTGCCCTTGCGCGACTCTCATGCGGCTCCCACGAAGCAGCTCCTTTGCACACCTGTCAGGAGGAGACGCCAGACATCCTCGTGTCCGGTGCCGGCGAGGATGCTGGCAACGGCTGTAGCTTTGTGACCTCCTATCCTCATGCCGGCTGGGCTCTATGCTCGGAGCTGTCTCTGTCTGCATCATGTTCTTGTCGGGTCAGGCAACGAATGCATCTACGATGTTTGCGTGTCTGCTGGGAGTTGGGGAAGACATATTCCTGCAAGTTGTGCCTAAGTTCAGCGTTCTCCTTGCTCGTCGTCTCGTGGAGATGGCACTCGTCTACGTCAGCTGAATATTCTCACCGGTCCGAGCACTCTGTACTTTCTGCCTCGGACGTAAACTGTTTAGATTCTAGAGTCTTGAACTCAAATGCTTCGCAGGAGCGTGTAAACGGTGAGTACTGCCTCGCGTTCCGCGGAAGCGAGTCATGCTTCTATCGGAAAATTGGCGACGAGTCTTGGCGCCAACTGTGTGCACGCACATCTTTGCTTTGAGATGCAGCTTGAGGCTGGGCTTCCGCCGCTGCAGCATATGGTCATAATTGTAAGTAAAAGTGCTTGTGTGTGTGTACGCATACAGGGGTTTTCATATGATTATGCATATGCATATGAATACGTTTGCGCATACACATAAAGTGCACGCATGCCATGTACTGGTGACCTATGCATACACAGCTCCAGCATAGAAGGAGCATCTTCGGGAGAGATGTATGTACGTGTAGAGCTCTATGTTTTCGTACATGCACTGCCATACGTACATACAGTTACATACATGCATGTATGAGCACCTGGTTTGTGTGTCTGTGCGGGTTCCTGCGCCACTGAAGTCTTCAGGAGTTGCAGATAAACCCGACTCTGTCGAGGATGGGGTCTTTATCGACTGCTTTATGTCCTCCTGGGTGATCTACATGCGCTATTCAGGCCGCACCACTGGCTGGAAGAAGTTTGTTTGGGAGCAAAGTTATTCAAACAGCTTGTTTCGGTCGGCCCGGTTGCATCTTGATGATGGATGCAGTGCCACGAAGCAGATGAAGCAGTGTATCGGGTCTTACTTGCAGGGTTACTAGTCCCGTTGGAGCATATGTTGCGTCACACAAGCCCCATGCGCCATGCAGCCCGTAATGCAGCGATGTTCTGTTAGACAGGTTGCGTCTACGAGGCGTCGGGCCACCACAGCAGCCTTCCGAAAATATGGAAGGCCAGGCAACAACCACGAGCAGCATCACTAGCATTATAGTTCGCAGTAACGGTAGTAGCAGTTCAACTAGAAGTGGTCATTCTCGTCTTCGGGGTCGTCGTCTCCCCTGCTGCTGTTCCACCGCTTCTATTTTATTAGTACTACTGCTACTACTACTACTACTACTACTACTACTACTACTAGATCTACTACTGCCACTACTACTACTACGACGACGACGACGACGACTACTACTACTACTGTTACTACCACTACTACTGCTACTGCTACTGCTACTGCTACTGCTACTGCTACGACTACTACTTCGACTAAGCACCTGGGCTCACAGTCTTGGCCCCCGCGTGTGTGTTAGAAATGAGGATTCGAAACATGGC